TCCCCAGGGCAGGCTCAGGTGTACCCGCATCACTCCAACCTCTTCATAAAACCCCCCAGTGACGGAGACTGCGCTCCTCCCCACTGGACATCGGACCCCCATGTTTCCTGCACCTCCGTGATGAAATGGCAGCGCAGCACTTGTCCTGTCATGGCGACCACTCAGAGCAGTCCCGTGCCCTCTGCAGCAGCCCTTAACATTATCTGAAGACTGCAATTACATCTCCATGCACTCTTCTCTCCTCTGGACTTGTAGTCCCAAATCTGTCACTTCCGCGATGCAGAACATGCTTCTGAAAGCATTAATTTGCTCGCCCCGGAGAGTCTCCAGCTGTCCCAGAGCTCGAAGGGCAGTGTCCTGACCAGGACACAGCAGCCCACTCGAGGCCTTACCATGCCTGGAGGCAAGACTGCTTCTCAGGTCTCGTAAGCCATCCTCTCACATGCAGCAAGCAGTACCTGTGTTTTCTCAATGCCAGGACATGGCTGGCTCTGCTCTGGGTCTGACCTACACAAAATCATCTTCTCTAGCAGCACTGCTGGGCCACACATTTCCCACATGGTGTGTGAAAATGATTATTCCTTCTCATATAAAGACAGTTTAATATTACACCAGCTAATCTAGATAAATGGTGGATTTTCTGTATTTGAGAACATTTGTTTGATATCTTTCAAACAAATCTGCTCCAGACCAGACTGAAGTTACAAATTTGGCTCAAAGTCACTGGGTGAAATTCTCTGGCTTCTGGGCATAATTATCCCTTCTGGCCTTAAACCTGGCCCAGTTCTACAGTCTGACCTGCCAGTACATACTGCAAAACAACTCCATCTGCCTCTCCTCTCCCTTGATCTGTCTTCAACTTGATACACCTTGGTACTACAAAAATACCTAGTTCAACACTTTCAGGCTGCTGCATCCTCTATCAAGCCCCACAAATGCATCGTCTGCAGAGAAGAGTTCAGCTGCAGTTAGTTCAACTACAAATCTGGAACTTTGCAAATTGAAACACAAGCAAAACGAGACCTGGAAACAGAATCGAGCACTGGCATCCCATTTTTTCAAGCCAGAAGGCACAAGAGTCCAAAACTGGGAGCAACTACACAGTCTAAGTAAACATCTAATAAAATGGGGGGGAGGGGAAAGGGGCCTTTAAGACCAAACATTTGCAAGAAACAGCTGAATCAAGGGATAGAGCTCAGTTAGACTTGTTATTTGCTGCTGTATTGGAGATTAAGAGGCAGGGGACAGAAGCTGAGAGCATTCCAGGTTTTAACAGTGCTGCTGTGCTGACTGCATCAAGGTTACAATTCTGTAGCCCAACTTCTTTTTTGATGGCAGAATGTGGAGGTTTGGCCCGGCAGCATCCAGACAATTCTGGTTTTCCTGGAGGAAAGCCCCCAGAGCAGCTCAGAGAGAAGTGAGAAGCGGCAGGGAGGATACGGCCAGGTGAAATGCAGGAGAACAGACCAGAGGCAGGCGCATCCCCACAGCTGAACTCATCCCCTCCACACACGTCCTCGTCGTGCTCCTGTGCACGCACCCCAACGCACCTCCTGGCCGGGCTTCTCAGGTCTGCTGAGACCCCTGCACTGGTGCGCATTGCCACACCTCAAGATCCTTCTGCTTCTCCATGGAAAGATTTACAAGAAGTAACTCTTCCACAAGTTGCTTCTCGAGGGTGGAAGTCCTGCACGAAGGAAAGAAGCTGCCAGAGACGAAAGGCAAGAGAACCCAACCCTCTTCCTCTCCCCACTTTTCCTTTCTTTCCCGGCATTTTGTCGGCCAGCGCGAGTGTCTCTGTGTTGTATTTGGATTGTGGTGGTGCACAGTAAAAGCAGCAGCAGCAATATGCAGCGTAATGAAGCAGGGAGCAGCGATGGCCCCCAAAGGACTCGTTTACTCCACAAATCTCCCTTCCACTCACTTTTTACTAAGAATTTTAACACCAAACTTAATTGTAAAGTCGCGTATTGATTGGAAAATGCAAATGGCAATTTAAATGTAATCTAAGCTCCCAGCATGATCCCAGCTCCCAAGGAGGAGGAGTCACCCGCCTTGGGCCCTGCTGGAGTGCATGGCCCAAACTGAGCCGGGCCAGGGACCTGGAGATCCCTGGGCTGCCTGTGCATTCAGCACAGCCTTCCCAGAAAGAATCTGGTACATGTGCAATTAGGAGTTCATTCCTAGTAACGAACAGCTGGGGAAGCTTAGTCTCCCGGCCTAATTAACCCACTTCTCAGAGACATGCGTCCAGCTATGAAGAAGCTTTTCCGACCTTGCAAGACCATCCGAACCTACGTATCACCAAAAGGACACTGCAGCAAAGGGATCCCGAGTCCACGGTGCAGAGCAGCCCCAGCAGAGGCACTGGCTGCCTCCGCAGCCTGGAGGGAGAGAAGGTGCTGTCCTAGGCATAAAGGAGCCCCAACATTCATGGTCTCACCTGTCCCATTGGGGATTTCCATCTTTTCTAGGTGTGCATGGGGTGTAAGGGAGACAGAGCAGGTCACCCAGAGGCATTCTTAGTTGTGCTGGAGAAGGTGGTGACAAGTGACAGCCAGCCACCATACCTCCGTGGCAGCATACGTCCCTTTTCAGTCAAGCAAAGTCTCCACCCAACATTTCTCCTTTCTGCAACACCCAACCCAGCCTCCCACTTTATAGTCAGCCTTCCCAGCCATCAGACTTGTCTCTGTGCAGAAACCCAAAGTAGTGAGTGCCAAACAAGTTGGCCAGCAGTCCCTAGTGCTAGTCCTCTTCCCGCAGAGTCCAGGAAGAGATTGTGCACTGGTCACAGTGATCACAGCCACAGGTATTACCGAAGGAGTCTGAAGGGCAACTACCCCTACTGCTGCCCCACATCACCCACTGACTTCAACTATCTTTAGGTAATTTAAGCATGCACCAGTCTTGTTCTTCCAAGCAGAGGAAACAAACTGCTCCCAAGGTTATCCACCAGTGGCTGCAGCACCCCAAACATAGCATTTGTTGTCATCAGCCCAGCAGTGCACATGCTGAGGGAAGTGAAGCAGTCTGAAACTGGCCAAGCACCCAGGCAGAAGACCCTGCATGTTTGCCACTCTACAGCCCTCAAAATGACTGGCTTCTCTGCTCTTTTATGGCTGGGCAGGACCACCAGACCACCTAAGAGTAAAACTAGCTAAAGGCCCTGCTCTTTTGCTGCCCTTCAAAGATATGGCAAGCAATGAGATCTCTACAATCTTGCAGAAAGGGCAGGTCCATATAAGAGAGCACAGCAATCATCACCTATCCTGAATCTTTGTGATGTGGAGCTACAGCTCCTGAGAATCTTTGCTCCTTTCCACACTGGTGGTACCAAGTCATTGCTCCTCCTGGAGGTATGACCTGGCAAAGGGCCACAGCAGGGATGATAGAGAAGAACTGCAGCACTCTGATGTTACTCTGGATCTACAACACTGCATGATTACACCAACCCCATCCCCCATAACCTCCATGTGGATATTGGCCTGTTTTCTCCTTTAGGAACAAAGCTCTGTGTCTTCCTAAGATGCCGTAGCACAACTGTTTAATTCAAGCAGTGGGAGGCCAGCAATTTCAGAGTGCCACAGCATCTCAAGAGACAGGTCATAGCAGTGCTCTATGGCCTAAGCATTGCCCCAGGGCCAGCAGCTCTGGTATGGTGTAACAGTCAGTCAGAGCCCAGGGAGGGAGAGCCATTTGCATAAACTGGTGCCTACCTTTTAGACAAGGCACTGCTTCCCCCAGTGTCAGTACATGTTACTGTAAAAAGACGGCCAGGATCTCCTCTGCGAAATCACCTCCTGCAGCTTTGGTTATGGGAGGTCCCAGTCCTGAGCCCAGGCAAGGACCCAGATCTCACAAGGTAACGTCTTGCTCCACGCTCTCCTGGCGAGCTGCTGCTGTGCAAACTCATTACTTCACTTAGGTCCTGGACCAGGCAAGTAGTTTGGCACCTACTTCTTGCAAAGCACAAGAATGACGTGCAAGCTTTGTTTTGCAGACCTAGGCCTTTGTTTGTCTCAGTTCTCCACCTGTTCAGCACAGTAACAGCACTGCTCTGCCTACAGCAAGGATCGACTTAATAATTAGACTAACACAACGCAATCTCCAGCAGACTGAACAAGGCCAGGCCCAGTTAGCAACACACAGAGACACAGGAGCAGGTAAAGAAAGCATCTCGCCCTGCTGAGTGAAGGGAAATCCTGGAAAAAACAACCCAAAAGTCCAGAAATAAAAGGCCATGGACCTCCCATGACCAGAGCTCCTGCAGTCAGCAGCATGGTTTTGGGGAGCCAAGTCAGGTCTAGCTCAAGGCTCCAGTTGCTCTGGTCTCAGCCTCCCCGCAGAACAACTGCCCACTGCTTCCCCCGCCTGCCATGCTGGGCTGACTCAAAATCAGAGCACACAGGCACTGCCACCACAAACCAACTACCCACCATGCTGACTGGCAGCCAAAAGGTAGCATACATGGGCAGGAGGCAGGGCTTGGACTGTGCACCTCACAACCCTCTAGGTCAGTGCTAGGTGGTGCTGGAGCAGGTATGCCCATCGTCTCCAGCACACGGTCCCTACTGGAGTGTGTGCAGAGGCAGCCAGCTCTGCTTGGAAATGAGAGGAGCAGTGTGGACAGAGGGGCAAGCACCCCAGCAGCAGAAGCGGTGGAAGAAACAGTTAAAGGAACCTTAATCCCTGCTCCAACCAGGAGATTAAAAAAAAGGACCTGTGCTGCTGAGAGAGAAGGGGCATGATCTGGCATGCAGCTGATATGCCCCATCCTGCTGGGGCTGTGCAAACCTTTGGCACTCTGGAAGTAGAGCCTCCATGTGCGAGGCCCCCCAGCCCCTGCCCCGGTGCCCGGCATTGCTTCCCCTGCCACTGCTCCCCTCCAACCCCAGAGCCAACCTTCAGAATGCTGCCCTCCCTAGTGCAGACCTCCTTCCAGCACCGCTCCCCTGCATCAGTACTGCTGTCCCCAGCACTGTCCCAGTGGCATTGCTTCCCCTGCCACTGCTCCTCTCCAACCCCAGAGCCAACCTTCAGAATGCTGCCCTCCCTAGTGCAGACCTCCTTCCAGCACCGCTCCCCTGCATCAGTACTGCTGTCCCCAGCACTGTCCCAGTGGCACTGACAACAGCCCTTCGCAAACCTTTCACAGTATTACTATATGCACTGAAAAAGGGCAGGAAGCATTGGAAGCTCCAGCAGCAGCAGGGTCTCTTTTTTTCGACCCACCACCCCATTCCTCAGTCAGCCTGGCCTCATTGAGTCCTTCCCAGGGATCTCTTTCCCCAGTGAATACTCAGCACAAAACGGTACCAGGGAGACAGTACCTGGTTGGGATGCAGACTCTGCCCTCCCGCCCCACTGACCAATGCTCCTGCGACACAGAGATGTAACCAGCCCCACGTGCACAGCAGCTCAGCTCTGGCAGTGTGTAGGCAGACAGGGCAGAGAGAGGCCAGCTAGGGCCACGGGAAGAAAAACGGATTCACAACAGGGGGCACAGGGTGCAAGGCAGAGGCACAGCCAGGTGCTGCAAAGCAGTGTACGGATGAGCCTTGCCAGTAGCGCGAGGAAATACTGGTGGAAACACCATCCAGTGAATCCATACCACTTGGTTCACTTGGGTGCTGCTGGAGCGCCCAGACATTACTCATCGCTGCTTTCCAGTCAATGGACACGGGGGCAGGCAATGCTCAGGGTTGGTTCCAGGCAGCTCGAGCTTGCCTGGAAGCCAGGAGCCGAATGCACTGCTGCTGGGGCAAGCAGCTGCCTCCCTCTGATTCACAACAGCTCACGGCGCAGGCACTGTGCTCGCTGCTTTTTGCCATTGCCCATGATGAGGAGAGTCTCCCTGTCCTGCCAGAGGGCAGCTGGGCCGGCATGGAGCAGAAGCAGGAGAGTGGTGCAGGAGAGGAGAGGAGCGCTGCAGCAGGGGGGCTGCAGCTGGGGGGCCGGGAAGCGGGTGCGGGGCACGGATGCCCTCTGCTGGAACTGCTCTGCCAGCCAGCCAGAGCAGCCCCTGCTCTGTGCCCAGCACCGCACACGGCGCCGAGTCCATGCCAACACCCCCGGCACAGCACTCCTCGGGTCCAGGCAGGCGTGCAGCCCCCCAAGGCACCTGGTCGGCCAGGCCGAGGGGCACCCAGCTCCTCTGCACTCTCCTGTGCCTCGTGCAGAGTGAAGGCACACCAGTCCACACCATAAAGCCTCATGGCACCTCCCCAGGGAGCCTGCTCTTGCATGGGGGTGAAGGGAGGAGGATCGAACCTGCTTCATGGGAATGGCCCGCCCGCTGCCGATACTGTCCGCTTTACACTCCGGCACCTTCTTCTCCCGCTCCGGGTCCGCACCCTTTCGAGACTGGAAGAGAAGAGACACAGGTCTATTAGAGACAGGGGCACAGGAGATGGAAACACATGGCCCCACCATCCCCAGCGGGCTGCCAGACCAGACCGCTCTCCCCCAGGCCAGGCCTCCCAGCGCATGGAGCAGCCACCGTCTTGCCCGTCCCCTCTAGGGACACTCCAGACCCAACCTCCCCACCACCTGTCCCCTGGCAAGCTGTCCTCTCCCCCCAAAACTGCAAGCAAAGCTGTCCTCCTAGCAGAACGGGGCTACCTCTGACCCCCCCTCCCGCAGGGGCACACAGGACATGGCGACAGACAGAAATGGCATGGGATGCAGGTGGAGCATGGATGGAAGCAGGAGAGGCTAAGGCAGTGAAGGAACTCACACCTCTACTAATCCAACAGATTTATTCTGTTAACACACTTGCACCATACAAAGTAGCACAGGTCACCGGGCAGAGATACCAGCCCCTTACAAAAGAGCATGGACAATAAATATCTATCACACGTCTAGAGAGTTGAGAGCAAAACCCGCCAGCCCCTGAGGGCAGCTGCGGTGAGAGCAAACTCCAATAAATACAATATGAAATATACAGTCTGTTGAGCAGAACTCATTCAAAGTGCTTAGGACAGAGGAAAATATCAAGTCATACACGGCATGGAGCACAATCAATACATTCAGAATCACAACAATGGCAGAAGGGCAGCGGCAGCGTCTCTCTGGAGCGTCCTACACACCCCCTTAGTCCAGGAGCACCCCATGTGCTTTGGATCAGAAAGGGACACGAGCCCCACGCGCCTGGGGCACCGATTCACTTGCTTTTGGGCCCAGAACAAAACAAAGAGATTGAAAGAGAAGAAAACTAAAGAGACATAGATGGCTGCTCTGCTGCGAGGAGGAAGAGGAGGAGGAGCAGGAGTCCATGCAGGCTGCAGGAGGTGCAGTAGGGAGGAAGGAGCTGAGTGCTAGCGGCAGGCGCTAACAGCAGCTCCCACAGGCAGCAGCAAAGCGTCTTTTGGCCCATCCAGCTCCACTCGCTGCTGTCGCCCGGTCCCGGCGGGTCTGCAGGTCTTCCCATCCCATGAGGGTCGTCCGCCTGGTATCCCCAAGCATGGAAAGTGCCTAGACAGCATCCAGCAGGCCCAGAAATGTCCCAGCTTAAAGTGCAGGCGCAGGCCGTCTCAGCGCTTCCTAGACTTTACATTGGGGGGATTTAAAAGGCTCCTGCGTGTCTCCGAGGGGGGGACCCATGCTGGCTGGAGGGCGGGCGAGCCTCTAATCTTAGATCAATCCCAGTGCCCATCCCTTATCCGGCCCTGGAGAGGCAATGAAAAGTGAGAGAATTTGTACAGAGGTGCCGTGTGTAACCACCTGGATCTTCTAATTTGGAAGGAGTTGGAAAGGCCTTTTTGTTGATGAAAAGTTGGAAACAGTGGCACATATCTGCAAATATCGAAAGAATAAAGAGTTTGGCAAGTTATACTCAGAACACGGACACGAGTCTGTCAGCGATGGGCGCCAGCGGACAGGCAGGCAGACAGGCCACGGAGCGAGGCGCCAGCGGCAGCAGCAGTTGGGGGTTTGGCTTCCGGTAGCGGGGACA